CCAGGTTCCTGTCCATGCTGGAGGAGGAGATCTACGGCGAGAACTCCCCGATCTGGGAAGCCGATTTCACCGTGCCGGCCGCGGAGGGTGCACAGCTGGTGTCTCGCCCAGGTATCTTGGGGAGCAGCCCCCCCCAGCGCGGGGGCTGTAAGATAAAGGACTGAGGTGTGGGTGAGCCTTGGCCGTGGTGGTGGCTGGGCTGCTGCAGTGCGATGAGCTGCTTTCTGCCAGTCACGGGCATCACTGGTCTCTCCCAGCCGCAGTCAGCACTGTCGCTGTGCCCACCACTCCACTCTTCAGCAAGAAGCTCAGCAACAGCAGCTCTGCCACGAGCATGGACGCCAGCACCCCGGAGCCCCTGCCAGGTAGTACCGGCGTGAGGAGAGGGGGTGGCAGAGGAGCTGGGACTTTCCTTGGTCCCTCCGGGTGCTGGATGTGTCGCTCCGCTCTGCTCCCCAGGGGAGAAGCGGAAGCTGCCCGAAAGCCTGACGCTGGAAGATGCCAAACGGATCCGTGTCATGGGAGACATCCCCATGGAGCTGGTGAATGAGGTCATGCTGACCATCACGGACCCCGCTGCCATGCTGGGCCCCGAGGTACAGCGCGGGGGACACTGAGGCAGCCAGCGGTGCTCTCCCGGGCCCGCAGAGCTGCTTTCCTGATGTGCCAGGGCCTGGCTGGGGTCAGTGAAACCCCCTGCACCCCCCAGACCAGCCTGCTGTCGGCAAACGCGGCGCGGGATGAGACAGCCCGGCTGGAGGAGCGCCGTGGCATCATCGAGTTCCACGTCATTGGCAACTCGCTCTCGCAGAAGTCCAACAAGAAGATCCTGATGTGGCTGGTGGGCTTGCAGAACGTCTTCTCGCACCAGCTGCCCCGCATGCCCAAGGAGTACATCACTCGCCTCGTCTTCGACCCGTCCCTCGGCTGTGCTGCCCACAGGAAGCACAAGACCCTAGCACTGATAAAGGATGGCCGAGTGATCGGGGGGATCTGCTTCCGCATGTTCCCCACCCAGGGCTTCACAGAGATCGTCTTCTGCGCCGTCACGTCCA